GTTGTGGCCTCTCCCGTTGCGGAGCACAGGCTCCGGACGCGCAGGCCTAGCGGCCATGGCTCACAGGCCCAGCCGCTCCGCGGCATGTGGGATCTTCCCGGACCCGGGCACGAACCCGCGTCCCCTGCATCGGCAGGCGGACTCTCAACCACTGCGCCACCAGGGAAGCCCCTGATTTTTTTACTTCATGTTTCCATCTCTCCACATCCTTCTTCCCTTCCCTCCCCTCGGGGTATTCTAGCCTCTGTGACCTGCCTTCATCTTTTCTTGCCTAGTAAAGTCATGCTCGTCTTTTAGATCTCAAAATGCCTCAATTTACAGGTTTTGTAACATCTAAAACTCCTTAAATATTTTTAGTTTTTGCATTGAACTAAGTTATTATACTGCCTGTGATTAAACTGTACTGTTTGCTATATACTATATTTAAATGTTATATATTACTATGCATAATTGTATTTATATGTCTATTTGTTTCTGAAAAATAAGACCTTTGTAGTTAGTTCCCTGACCAGGGATCGAACCCATGCCCCCTGCAGTGGAATCACGGAGTCCTAACCCCTGGACTGCCAGGGAATTCCCTGAAGTTTCTTCAATGATTTTAAAAGGTTATTTTATTACTAATATTTTAGAAGCAGCTATTCTTTTTATTTGGTTTTACCTTTTCTCTTTCCCTTTCTTTTTCCTCTCCCTCTCGACTCTCTTTCTTCCTTTTCTTCTTTCCATGTTTTATTTTAAATGTAGTAGTTTTGATCCATGTGTTGGCAAAAGATCCATGAAGGGAAGAATCTTTTACATCCTGTTTTTTATTCTGTATGATTAATAGAACAAGCAAAATATTTTAAGAAAAATTTCTGTACACTTTAAGGTTGTTGACACTGAAAAAATGAGATGCATAGCTATTTGGCAGTTGTCCTTGTATGTAGAATATAGATATTCTATTTAGACAATACGATGTGGTTTATATATTGTACAAATATGTTTCTTCAGTATTTATGTCCTGTCCATTCATTTCCTATTATGTATGAGACACTATGCTGGTAAATAATAAAATAGTGTATGATCCCTAAATAAT